TAACGAGAGTAATCAATTAAGGTGGGATATTATCAGCTATTATAGTTAGTATGGCAACAAAAATATTTTAAATTAAATATCAAGGTTTTGATTTTTGCACTATCCAAAGATGTGTGTAGGGGAGAGGGTTGTTTGCAGCTTATTGGGTGGGGGGTGTTTGGAAATTTTCTGTTAAAACACAACAAAACTCCCCCCTCCCCATTCCCCTTCCACACCCTGAGAAATTGGATTTTCAAATAAATGCATTTTTTGGTGGGAAAAGTATCTGCACTCCACAGAAAATGTTCCTTTTTTGTCCCAAAACCAAACAATTTAAAATCAAAATGTATTTATTTGGATATGCTGCTACATCTCATAGGAATTGTGGTTCAGTTGCTTCCTGTCCCCATTCTCCTTTGTGGGCCAGGCTCCCTGGCTAGGGTGCAGCATGAGAAATGTAGGCCAGCCAGGGATCTAATCTGTAGAGGAGAATGGGAACATGAAACACCCAAACTGCATACCTCAAAATATTTTTGGTCAGAATATTTCAGTTTTTAAATTTTTGCCAAAAGGTCAGTCTTTATTTTTCTTCTTCAGAAATCAACAATTTTTCAAAACTGCTCTATTATTTTGTTTTATCAAGAATAAGTTATCACACCCAAAAGAAAATATTCTTAATGGTACATGCCTTATTACATCAGAGCTTGACAGCCAGAGAAAGTTCAGGTAATGGAGTCTCTTTAAATTATTATCTAAACAAACAATTTAAAGCTATGCAAAATATTTCAGTTTGATGCATTGGGTCACTCTCTAATCCCAGAAAAGAAAACATTTAAATGTGGGATAAACACTTGTGACATTTAGATCACTCATCTGGCTCTTCTGAGCTAGTCTTCAGCTCATTAAATACCATATGTGACAAATAAAATACTAGCAATCAAAAAGGTTTCAGAGATAGTTCATTAAAGAGGAAGTAAAGGGGACCTTTGTAATTCAGGCATCACTGAATTATTACAGAGTAACCCAAAAGCAATACACAAAAAACATCCATTCATCACAGAAAGTTTACACATGATAATTGATGCTTTCATTTGAATGTGGACATTTAAAAAAATATATCTTTTGAATGAGGAAAGGCAATTCCTTTTAGCTGAACTTGTTCAAGATTTCACCTTTGGCTCTCATTTAAACCACTCAGTGTGTTAGCAAATAAACATGCCTGCTCAGAGTTTGTTTCTCTCTTATCTATACGTTCTTACTATCTAGTCCAGTAAATCTCAATCAGATTCCTGAAAGGGGTACAATAGTCTGGAAAGGTAGTCTTGTGTTTCATCTCACTTAAAAACTACTTGCTTGCAAAATCAGACATAAAAATACAAAAGTGTCACAGCACACTATTACTGAAAAATTGCTTACTTTCTCATTTTGTCTGTATGAAATTTTAGTTTGTACTGACTTTGCTGGTGCTTTTTATGTAGCCTGTTGTAAAACTAGGCAAATATCTAGATGAGTTGATGTACTCCCTGGAAGACCTTTGTGTATCCACAGGGGTACACGTACCACTGGTTAAGAACCACTGCTCTAGTTGAATCTTCTTTGTTAAAGAGAAGGGGAATGTTGACTAAACCTTTATTAGGTATATGCCAAACAATAAGCGTTTGGAACACCCAGGCACCTTTTCCAACTTGTGGAAGGGTCAAATCAGAGCTGGTACCAGAATGTGTAAGATGAATGGTTCCACCTGGTACAAACATGGTTGCATCAACACCAAGACAGGCATTTCCTCACCACTGCTTCTTGCCGTATACCTGGAGATGGCAGCGGGAGAGAAGAGCAGGGGACTCTGGAACTCCTTTAGATACTTCTGAGAAGAAAGAGGAAGTACGAGTGAAAATTTCCTGGCAGCTGCCCAAGGCTACTGGCACATCCCTCAGGCTTTGTGAGCTGGAGTTAAAATTCCTCTCAGGCTGGGGGGGGGGGGGTAAGATCCCAGCAGCACTGGTCAGGAAATTTCTGCCATCTCAAATCCACCAGGTGGAAGCACACCCTGCCAGAGCATTGGAAAGAATGAACAGAAAGGAATTTCTGGGTGGGTGGGAAGGGGGACATGGTGTTATCATTGTGAAGGTGTGGTGCAAGAATGGATAGTGTGTGAAGAGGACAAGGAGTGATGGCAGTGTAAAGGTGAGCCCAGATTGAAAAGAAGACAGAAGTGAGGAGATCACAAACAAAAGGGGAACAGGCCCTGTCACACTCCACTCACAATGCACATCCTACAAAAACATGTAGGGATCAGCTCTGTATCAGAGACTTTACTACCCAGGAACCACTGAGCTAGCTATTTCAGATGAGGAGGATCAGAGAACTGAAAAATCTTTTCTAAAATGTTAGCCAACAGACCCTTCTTTAAAGGTTTCCTTCAAAGTAGATTATTTTTAAAGTATTTTAAAGGGCTTCTGTAACCATGTTGGGTTTTTGTCTGAAGGCATAAGATCACTCTAGAAAAGGTTTCTCCTGTTTGGAGGAGGGAATTTGTGGGAAAAAAAGGAAGTACTTAATATATTTTCTTTGAAAGTGCAGCTGAACAGCAGGAAGAAGATAGGGGAGGCATCTAGCGTTCTGCCTCGGGCCCAGTAAGAGTCATTTCTGCCTACCTCCATCTCATAAGATCCTGCAGGTTACAATGAACATATGGGATTCAGTGGAGGGGAAAATGAGTTCTTTCCACATCCAGTGACCCTAATCTGGGAGCACGAAGAGTTCAACCATGGGAATAAGGTCTAGAGATCTGTGCATAGGTGGAATAAAAAAATCAATAACCCGTGAGTCAATTGTTCCAGGGATTTATCTGAGTTTTGAAGAAATACAATGGGAGTTTGATTATCCACCTCCAGCCCTGAATCAAACACCTTCAGTAAAGTAAAACACAACAAAGGAAGAGCTATGCTGCTATAGGATGGATGACAAAAGGAAGTCTGAGAGCTAAATAACATTAAAATTATTAAAAGACTATGAGCTCAGTGTCACAGTGCTGGACTCCCTCACCCTGGATTGCTTGCTGTAAACAGTCCTCACACCACCAGTGGCAAGTTCAGTACCACGTGCTTTATTTACAAGTGTTTGTTTCCCCACGGCATACGGCTTTTCCCCAAACCTTTACCTGCTACCAAGC